ATATAGAACATCAGGGTTGGAAGGGACCTCAGGAGGTCATCTAGTCCAACACCCTGCTCAAAGCAGGACCAAGTCCCCCAATTTTTGACCCAGATCCCTTAATGGCCCCCTAAAGTTTGAACTCGCAACCCTCGGTTTAGCAGGCCAGTGCTCAAACCGCTGAGCTATCCCTCCCCCAAATGATGTTGCTTGAATGGCACCAAAGCGCGGGCCCATTCACTGCAATGCTTTGTTCTGCAATGATTCTAGACTACTTGCTACTGGCTTGGCGTGGTAAAGTGTCCTACCATGTAGTTCGGAATAAGGTGCCCTCCCCAGAAACCTTTTGCAAAGGCTTTTAGAGTACTCCAGGAGAGTTTCATGGAGATGTCCCTGGAGGATTTCTGCTCCATCCCCAGACACATACTTTTCCAGTAGCTATAGTGGCCGCGAATGCATCCCAAGTCTTCAGGGCAAATTAATCATTAAACACGCTTACTTTTAAACCTGAATTATATTGACAAAGGTACACTCACCAGAGGTGCCTTCTCTGGCTTCATGGTCTGGGACCCCGCCTTAGGAGGGTTGGGAGGATACTGGCTCCAGGGTGATGAACAGTTCCTGGCTGCCGGGGAGAAGGGATTCTCCGCTTGCCTGCTGTGTGCTATCTTCAACCTCCTCCTCCTCCTCCTCCTCATCCACAAAATCCTTATCCTTATTATGTGAGACTCCCCCCTTGCAGGTGTCCATGGACAGTGGTGGGGTAGTGGTTGGGGCCCCCCCCTAGAATTGCATGCAGCTCATCATAGAAGTGGCATGTATGGAGCTCTGACCCGGAGCGACCATTTGCCTCCTTTGTTTTTTGATAGGCTTGGCTGAGCTCCTTAATTTTCATGTGGCACTGCTGTGTGTCCCTGTTGTAGCCTCTGTCCATCATGCTCTTGGAGATTTTGGCATATATATTGGCATTTCATCTTTTGGAATGGAGTTCTGCCTACACTGATTCTTCTCCCCTTACAGTGATCAGATCTAGTACCTCCCATTCGGTCCATGCTGTAGCTCTTTTGCGATTCTGGGACTGCATGGTCACCTGTGCTGATGAGTTCTGCATGGTCACCTGTGCTGATCAGCTCACCACGCTGGCAAAACAGGAATTGAAATTCAAAAGTTCCTGGAGCTTTTCCTGTCTACCTGGCCAGTGCATCTGAGTTGAGAGTACTGTCCAGAGCGGTCAGAATGGAGCACTCTGGGATAGCTTGTATGATTTAGTTGGGGATGGGATGATTTAGTTGGGGATTGGTCCTGCTTTGAGCAGGGGGTTGGACTAGATGACCTCCTGAGGTCCCTTCCAACCCTGATATTCAATGATTCTATGATAGCTCTCGGAGGCCAATACCGTCAAATTGTGTCCACACTACCCCAAATTTGACCCAGCGAGGTCAATTTTAGCACTAAACCCCTTGCCGGGGAGGAGTACAGAAATCGATTTTAAGAGCCCTTTAAGTCGACAAAACAGGCTTGGTCGTGTGTATGGGTGCAGGGTTAATTCGACCTAAATTCGTAGTGTAGACCAGGGCTTAGAGACTAACATTCTCTAAGGTGCCACAAGTACTCCTCATTCTTTTTGCTGATACAGACTAACACGGCTACCACTCTGAAACCAGTCTTACCATGGAGTTACAGACAGTCCCCTTAGACTCTCTAGTCTATCTTGCTACCCAGACAAACTGGATTTAGTAATAAATGGTCACTTGTCTTACACCAAAAATCACATCTCATTCAGGTTGCTTCTAGTTCCAAGAGACCAGTCATTTACCCCAAATCAGTTGGTACCCTAGCTCTTATACCAGAGACAGCGACTGTAGCCAATCCTGTAATAAACTATCTAAAATTTTATTAGGTAGGAAAAAAGAAATAAGAGAGTTGTTTATAGGTTAAAGCAAGCAAATGTATACACACATATGAGTTACCATCTAACTCCTAAGAGTGACAGAGTTGTAGTGATCTGTCAAGTCAAAGTGTCTGTCAGGGCAAACCCAGAAGGCAGTCCCTGGGGATTTCTGGCTTCAGTTTAGAGTCTCTAGCTCTGTCAGAGTTCAAACAGCCAAAAAGATTTCCTTCATTCAGCTTCCAAGTCCACAGGATGAGCTTCCTTGCACACAGCATATTCCGGGTGTGATAGGGCCATTAATCAATCCTTTGTACTGCAGTATTTCTTGATGGCCCATCTGACTTCGATAGTCCTTCTGGATGGGCATAGGATGATTCCCATGCATGGGTTCACAAGTTCAGAGCAAACCTTTTCAAAACTATAAAGCAAAACTTACATATTTTCTTAGCATGGAATACCGACATTACAAGTGAGATTAATGCGTACAGCAATTTACAAAGATTTCATATAGTCTAAATACATTCTTAAAAGATTACTTATTTTGACTCAAATAGTCAAAAGACTACTTATTTTGAGCGAAACGAACACAGAAGTGAACTGGTCTGGTCTCCAGCTATGAGTTTGTTAGTTCTTAGCAAATGCCTGCAGTCTTGGCAAGAGCTGGCATCTGGCCTGACAGTGTCACAGGCTGCATCATGGAATATTTCTTACCTGAAAATTTCCTTTCTGTTAGCAACATCTCCCTCAGTTTTACCCTCCCTAATGGTTCATTAGCCAAGGGGTCAGCTTTTTAGTTGGACAATTACTGTGCAGACAGTTGCCTGCTGTACAGTTAATGAGTTAGCATTTGATGATGATGATAGTATCTGTACACAAGTTTTAGAATGACTCATCTGTGGCAAGCGGGAGAAGGAGGCATGGCCAGCACATGCTGTGCTGCAGTTTTGAACTGCCTCTGGAAATTGCTGAGTGAAGGGGAGCAGGCATAACAGAATTGTGGGAGATGCTACTTACAGAAATTATGGGGTAAGAAAATTTTTATTTTCTATTGCTCAGGCTGTGTTGCTTCTGTCAGCAAGTCTTCAGTGTATAAATGCAAGGTGCTACAGTGCAGAGTGTGAAAATGAGGTTAGAGAGATGAGAACAGAAGAGCTTATGTCTAAATAATTCACTTTACATTGAACCATATTGATATCAATATTGAAAGAAACTTCAAGCAGTTAAGGTTGCTTAAGTGGAATACCTATCCACACACTTCCTTAAAAACAAGGAAAGTTCAGTTGAGCTATCCTTCTTTAAATGTATGTTTATCCTTTCACATTACATTCACCATCTTCACTAACTTATTCTGTGCCTCTATAAATAAGTCCCATTCACCTCCAGCATAGTCAGTAACACCATACGCATTCCTAGCAATCACACTGTAACACAAAACATTAACTCAGACCACAGGAACAATAACATAAATATTTGTTAGTTATCTGTATCTCGATAAAGCCTATGATGTGGTGGTTTCTCATGGGAAAGTATGAGTTGAGACTTTATTTTTGGTGGGTTTCTAAAATAACTATTTTAGGGAAAGAAGATCCATTGCTTTGTTTTGTCATCCTCCACCCCCACCTTGGTAGCAAAAATGATCTCCTGTGTGTGTGAAAAAGACTTTAGGAATGAGCTTATGACTTTTTTTTTCTGCCTTCAAGAAGAGTCTGACAACTACACTACACAGCTATCTAGAAGACCTTGACTTCAAATGCTAGAGACTTTGGGGACAACATTTTGAAACCTGCCCCTCAGAATTTATTCATGGATCTTGGATACATAAAAACTGTAATTGCATGTTGTCAAGGTTCCTTCCCCACTCTGAACTCTAAGGTACAGATGTGGGGACCTGCATGCAAGACCCCCTAAGCTTATTCTTACCAGCTTAGGTTAAAACTTTCCCAAGGCATAAACTTTGCCTTGTCCTTGAACCGTATGCTGCCACCACCAAGCATTTTAAAGAACAGGGAAGAGTCCACTTGGAGACATCTTCCCCCAAAATATCCCCCCAAGCCCTACGCCCCCTTTCCTGGGGAAAGCTTGATAAGAATCCTCACCAATTTGTACAGGTGAACACAGACCCAAACCCTTGGATCTTAAGAACAATGAAAAATCAGTCAGGTTCTTAGAAGAATTTTAATTAAAGAAAAGGTAAAAGAATCACCTCTGTAAAATCAGGATGGTAAATACCTTACAGGGAAATCAGATTCAAAACACAGAGAAACCCTCTAGGCAAAACCTTAAATTACAAAAAGACACAAAAGCAGGAATATACATTCCATTCAGCACAGCCTATTTTACCAGCCATTAAACAAAAGGAAATCTAATGCATTTCTAGCTAGATTACTTACTAATTAACAGGGATTGTGAGGCTGCATTCCTGATCTGTTCCCGGCAAAAGCATCACACAGACCGACAGACCCTTTATTTCCCCCCCCCCCAAGATCTGAAAGTATCTTGTCCTCTTATTGGTCATTTTGGGTCAGATGCCAGCGAGGTTACCTTAGCTTCTTAACCCTTTACAGGTGAAAGGGTTTTGCCTCTGGCCAGGAGGGATTTTATAGCACTGTATACAGAAAGGTGGTTACCCTTCCCTTTATATTTATGACACATGTGTTGTGGGAAAATGAAGATTTTGTATTTGCAATGTTTGTGTATAGAAATTTAGAGGCTGTTTTTAGTACTTTTGACATGAAATCAGGTGGAGAAAACTCTCTTCAATACCCCCTTTCTTTCAAGATGCTACAGGAATTGCAAGTAGTGGGTGACAGTACACTGTAGGTATAACAAATAATCCTGTCTTTTTCATATGTCATATAAAAGATTTTGTAATTTTTTTTTACATCATCTAGGTGCTCAGTGAACAAGTTTAAGTTTCTGTTATAACTTGATCTTCTTGCTGTTGTAGGTTTCTATTTGACGTTATCTGAGTGGTTTTTCTCTGTGGCTTACTTTGTTACATGATGTGGTGTTTACAAGCCACTTGGCACAGTATTTTAGTGTTCTGTCCAAATGAGTAGAATAAATCTAAAAAGATAATTGTCTTTTTCTATTTTTAGGGTCAATTTAAATTCATTTTTTCTCTTTGTAGATCCACTATAAAGAAGAGTATGAAAAATCTAAAGGCAAGTTCACATTTGTATCTGACACCCCTCAGTTAAAACATGTGAAAAATATGAGTGCTTTTATTTCTGAGGTAAGATATAAAAGATTGCAGAATATTCTTCAGTACTTAGTTACCAGTAAAAAAGCCCACTAAGTTGAATATTGCGATTCTTGAGGGGGCAGATTGGGGAGTCTATTCATATCAAATAGCAAGAGAATCCAAAAGTTTTAGTGGGTTATAGGAGTGTCACTACTGTATACAGTTTAAGTGTATAAAGGTAATGTAATATTGTATAGCACCTTTCTTCTAGGATCCCACATCGTTTGACAAACATTAAATGTAAATAGTTTTGTGAGAGTAGACCCCTTGTGAGCTAATGGACCCGCTCATTACCCTGGGATAAACAATCAGCCATGCTTGGTTCTGTTTATGGTCTTTCCCCCAGGGCTCTGTTTATTCTCCAACTCAAAACAAAAAGAAATATAGAACAATTAGAAAAGCAATAGTCCTGGTCTTGACTGGAATTGTGGGATCCTCTGGCCTCCAGTAACTAAAGGATCTGGACTTTCCCTCTTGAAGCCTTCTGCTGCAGCCACAGGAGACTGTGCGCTCAGCTGTCTCCTGGTCTCAGGCTCCCTCATGGAGGTGGGCTCTTCATTGATATCCTCCGGTGGGAATCAGACCCAATCATTAGCTGCTGTCCTGCTGGGTCAGCTGATTCCCTGCACCTGCCTGCTGGGCTTCCCTCCAGAACAGTGCCAGTTGGTCCCTACTCCCCCCAGCCCCTGAAGTGGTAGACCGCCCTGTTACACTCCCTTTCACAGATGGATGGACCAAGAGAAATCATTATTATTTGTTGTTTGTATTACAGTAATGACTAGGGCTCCATTGTGCTAGGTGCTGTCCAGATACATAGAAATGGATAGTTCCTGCCTTGAGGAGCTTACAGTCTGAATAGCAAACAAAGAATAAGAGAAAGGGGATAATAGGAAATATTATCTTACAAGTGGAGAACTGAGGCACGGATCAGGTAAGTGGCTTGCTCAAGGTCACCCAGGAAGTTTGTGCTGAGCTGGGAATTGAACCCAAATCCTAGTCCATTGCCTTAACCACAAGGCCATCTTTCCTTCCTAGTGGCTTTGCATAAGACCATACAGTGGCATACCTGATATCAAATTCTAAGTATACTGACTCCAATTCCTACTTTCCATACTTACTAGACCAAATAAATGAACATCAACTCTTAACTGCACGCTATAACTATCATGGGCCACATTTTAACTCACAGTGGAAAAGTTTTCTCTCTCAACTCAAACTCCAGTAAAAATGTTTATAATTACATACTATACATATAGAACAAAATTTATTCGGAGTGTGGAGTACCTGTGCAAGGTCCCTCCATGCTACTTGGGGTGGGGAGAAGGACCAATGATGAAGCTGCCACGTAGTGCCCCCTTATATGCCATAGAAAGCTCCTCTTTTAATCTGCAGAGGGTAGCACAAAGTCCTTAGGCTGACATGAGAGAGTGGGAGCTCTCACTATTTCTGGGCTGGGGAGTTGATTTCACCCCTTCTGTACTCCCCACTTCTTAAATTTCCTTTCACCCTCCACCCCGTTGCTTTTTCCTCAATCTCTCTCCTCCTCGTCCCCACCCAACCAATTCTTTCAAAAAGAAACTCTTTCAACATACCACAGAACTTATTTTAAAGGGTTTATTCTTTCTGGAGTTCATCAGCTGAAGTAATGTCTTAATTCTGACAGTATCTATTGCTTTACATTTTGGGAAGAGCATATTACTTGTGTCAGGGGGTGGCATATTTTTCACTCTGGCAAGTAGGTTCAGTTCTTGGGCCAATGAGTGTTAGGTACATTTTTCGGTCTGTGTGAGTCTGTAAATGTATGCATGCATACACACATATATGCAAGGTGCTACTGAGCCAAAAATATAGATTTCAGAAATGATTAGACCACCTCTTATTGACAACCACTTATGTCCTGGCACTAGGAAGAAATGTTCCTGAAGGCATGTTGTTGCATGAATGTATTTTTGTCTATTTTGGGGGTGGAGAGTGAAAACTGGGAAGGGAGCCTTAGCAAAAGGAGTCAGCATATTACTGAGAATCAAAAGATCTGGGTTTCATTTCTGGTTCTGCCACTCACTCTGTGAGAATTTACAGACTCACACAGACTGTGGCAAAGTCACTTAACCTCTGGGTGCCTCAGTTTCTCATGTTTTGTATATAATAAACTGTGTCCAGTTATTCATATCTGAACTGAGATTTTTATATAATTCACATGCATTCCATATATTTTCTCTGAAACTTCAGTGCTGATTAGTTGTAAGTCTAGATCAAATTTAAAAGCATATGTTTGCTGCTTTACTGACATTTATCTTCATGTGTCAGGAATAGGTAGGATAACTCACAAGTGGAATAACCATAATGGAGTTATTCTGAATTTTCTCATTCAAACATAAATGATATAACTGAGATAAGACATCATATAGCCTATAGAAGCCAAATATATGTGAAGCTGTTGCTGTTTTGTGCTATGTTGTTTAGTATCAAACGGCTACAGCATGTGGTGTTGCTGATTGTTAATAAAAGAACACTTAAAGATTTAATATATAACAAAAGTAAAAAAAATTGCTTTTTGTTTCAAAAGTTTTTTAGAGTGCTGTTTAGGTAACATGTTTTGTTGCAGTGGTTGAATACGATAAAGTGTTAGCTGACTAAGATTGTAAATTGCTGACCTCTAGTGTTCCATAGCCTTTGTTGGAGAATGTAGGTATTTTTAATATTGTATTTAGGCATCTTTTGTCAACTCACAAAAAAATCTGGGAAAAATGAATTTTCTGTATTTTAAAAAACAATAATTCATGGGAATAACCAGAGTAATAAATAATTAGACATGGTCCAGTTGGTGCATGTCAATTAAATATGATAATGCATTTAAGATGGCATATTCCTGATATCAGTGATTATTTTTAAAGATTGTTTTATTAATTTAAAATTTATGCTCCTGACATACTTTGCTTCAGAGACAAAAACGGAAGCAAGCCAGCAATTCTGTACTATGCTTCTGGCTTGCATCACTCTGTTGTGAGAAAGTTGCCATTGGGTTTTCTGTGCTTTGGTAATGATGCTTAGAAAATGCTAGCTTTGAATGGTAGTGAAAACACAGGAGAAATAACAAGAAATTTTAAAACAATATTTGATGTAGAAATCTGAAGTAGAAATTAATAAACAAATTGTTGTCTTCATATTCTTGTATTTGCCAGTGAAAATTAATTAGTGCCTCTTATTGAGTGTCTCAGTGTTCCATTATTTGTTTCTCCACTGAACACAATGTGCAAAACTCCAGAAAACTGAAAATATGTAGATAATTTTGCTTTTTGGATCAAGAAGTGAATTAATAAGTGGCATATTTTTTTACTGACTTTGCTTGCCTCATTCAAGGCTTCCTTCAAAATTTCTTCAATTTTAACTATCAGGCACATTATAGTGATTCATGGATTATATACACTAATCTGAAATATAAAGTGATTTGAAAATAAATGTGTATTCTTAAATTACTCTATAAGACTTTTCTAGGTCTTTTCCAGTACAAAGTTCTTTTGTACCATTTTACTTCAAAGTAAAACAAAGTGATTTGTTTAGTTACTATGTGATTCTCTTTGAAGTAATTCCTGCATTTTTTTGTCTTTTTTTCTTTCTAGACAAAGTACAAAGGATCTGCTAAAAAAGACCTTTCCAATTCTCTGTATAAGCAGATGCCAGCCACAATTGACAGTGTGTTTGCAAGAGAAGTTACACAGCTTCAGAGCAAGGTAAAGTTTAAAAAACATTTATTTTTATTTTTTACAGATTAATTATGCAACAGAACACTACTACCCCCAGTAGCTTTAAACTGATATTTTATTACATATATGATTCACAGGATCCATTTCTCAGCTAGTGTATTGGCGTAGCTCCATTGATTTCAAAGGAGGTACTGCATTTTACATCAGCTGAAGATCTGGCTCATTATGTTTAGTAAATAGCATTTGAAAAACAGTAAGTCATTCATCAATGCATACATTAATTATTCCATAAGATGTTGTTGCATAATGTACGTAAAAGAAGACAAATCAAAATTATGTTGCAATCTACATGATCGAAGTGCCATATTGGCATTGTAAGATTTTTATCAACTCCTTACTGATAAACTCACAGCCTAAAAATATAGCAGTCTGATTTTCAGAGGTGCTTGAGAACCCATATCTCCTACTGACTTCAGTTGAAATTGCGAATGTTCAGCATTTTTGAAAATTAGGCTATACATTTTCAGTGTTATTCATCAGATTCCTACCAGTTTGAGATAGAAGGCCTGACTTCATTATTTAGTCCATGTTTTTTTGCCAAAGCTCAATTGTTCCCTGCAGTCTATTTTTAGTGCTTTCTTCAGTCCAGTTGTGTCATTCAGATGGCATTGAGGGTAGAAAGCACTTAAGAACCCAAACATTTTTCTTTTTGGAACTCCACAAGGCTAAATAGCAAAAAGTTGGTTTTGAACTCGTGCATTAAATCAGGGGTTCTCAAACTCGGGGTTGGGACCCCTCAGGGGGTCAAGAGATTATTACATGGGGGATCATGAGCTGTCAGCCTCCACCCCAAACCCTGCTTTGCCTCCAGCATTTATAATGGTGTTAAATATATTAAAAAGTGTTTTTAATTTATAAGGGGGTGTCACACTCAGAGGCTTGCTATGTGAAAAAGGTCACCAGTACAAAAGTTTGAGAACCACTGCATTAAATGGATATCTAGAACTAATGCTGTCTACCCACCAGGTATTTGCACATTTTAGGTATTGCTCCCCCCACTTTCCATCTTAAACACATTTTTGAGACTCTTTTGAGACCTACCAGACCAGCAAAAGCAAAAAGCATAACATGATGCAGCTTTCAAGTACCTGAAGGGGGGTTCCAAAGAAGATGGAGCTCAGCTGTTCTCAGTGGTGGCAGATGACAGAAAAAGGAGCAATGGTCTCAAGTTGCAGTGGGGGGAGGTCTAGGTTGGATATTAGGAAACAATATTTCACCAGGAGGGTGGTGAAGCACTGGGAATGGGTTACCTAGGGAGGTGGTGGAATCTCCATCCTTTGAGGTTTTTAAGGCCCGCTTGACAAAGCCCTGGCTGGGATGATTTAGTTAGTGTTGGTCCTGCTTTGAGCAGGAGGTGGAACTAGATGACCTCCTGAGGTCTCTTCTAACCCTAGTCTTCTATGATTCTATGAAGCAAAACCACACTGCCTATTCCATATTACATAAAATAAGTCAATCATTCTACAGACTGATGTTCTATGGAAGTACTTTAAAGACTGTAACCATTCCTTTTGCAAATGAAAGAAAATGTTCATAGTAAAAGGAAACACTGAAATTAGATGGAGGAAATAGGTTTTGCTTTGTAAACTTAATTATCAAGTCAGCATTCAAAACTCCACAATGGTGGCAATGTATCAGTCATGTCTGTAATAAGCAAATGTATTAATGTGAATTATATTTTACCTCTACTAGTTTGAAACAGAATACTTAGTGCAGTAAGTTAATTCCAAACAGTAACTAAAATGACATCAACATGACATGTCATTATAACATGATTAATTTATAAGACTAAGTAGTGTTGTTGTAGTCACGTTGGTCCCAGGATATTAGAGACACAAGGTGGGTAAGATAATATCCTTTATTGATCTGACTTCTGTTGGTGAGAAAGACAAGCCTTTGAGCTTACACAGAAGATATTACCTCACTCACCTTGTCTCTCTGATTATAATAGTTACAGTTGAAATAAATTATAGATTGTAATAGTGATAAAGTAATAAAATTGTATAATGCTTTTTAAACACTTGGTTTGATTTATAAAGCATCAGTTAACTAGTTTGCCATGGGACTCACTCCTGGATCCATTCCAAATGAGAATATTATACAGAAATTATGTTTTCATATTTCATGTACAAAATCATGTTCTCTTACACACCAGTGATGTTAAGGAAAGGATCTGAGACTAAAAATAAAAACATTTGAGTCAGGAAAAAAAATCACAAAAAAAAATCAATAGGGCTGCCCTTTTCTTATGACATTTATTGAAGATTTTGCCCAGCCATTCAATATTCCTAAAGAAATAAATATGCAGTACAGTAGGTGCCATGCTATGTCACCAGTGCTTTCTTTGAAGTTTATAATATCCCCTTTTAAGTGTACACACATTGTAAATCATAATAGACCATAAAACCGAAGACTGCTGATATATTTTTCCAACTTGTGGTGTAAATCAATCCATCCTATAGAAAAAACCTGAGAAAGTGGTAAAATGACTTAAAAAAAAGTTTCAACTCAAGAGTTTTCAAGAAGGGGAAGAGGAGGTGGGGTGGTTACTTTGTTACAGAGCTGAATTTGAAATTGCTTTGAAGGAGCTCCTGAGGTATTCTCTCCTGGAAAATCTTCTTTACAGTATCCAAATCTAATCTATATTGTGTCTATCACTGTGGGATCTAGGAAGCAAATACAAAGTTTTTAAGCTTCAGTTTAGTCATGGTAGGATGATATTTGCTGCTGCTCCTCCCTCAGTGGGGTTATAGTTCAGTAGGCTGTCATTTTCTCCAAGGGACAATCTAAGATGGGGAATGGGAGGGAGGGTTCACTGGCCATTGTGCTACCACTTGTCTTGTGGAAAGGGTGTTAAAAACAGGGTGGAAAAGCTGTGCTCTCTTTCTGAAGGAGGTGATTGTTGGACCGTGATGGGGGTTGATTATAAATTTTAGACAATTTCCATGCTGACAGTAATAATTAGACTCATTTGTCCAATGTTCTGAGTGGGCCAGAGATTACTTGGGGAAGTTGCATGGAAAATTCCTTGGTTTCAGACAGGACAGTGGCACCTAGAGAGGCCACTGCCCACCTACAATCACCTTCCCCTGAACTCTGTGGGGGGAAAGCCTGGCTCCACTAAAGTCACTGACAAAACTCCTATGGACTTTAGTGGAGCCAGATTTCACCCTGTAGAGTTCCAGCCACATAATATTCATATGGAGGGGGTTCTACCATACTTGAGAGAGGGCATGATTATATGTTCTACTATGCTTCCTGTGCTTGCTGTTCAGGTTTGGCTGTATTTATACTTTTGCTTCCCTGTGTGATATACAGCGGAGGCACAAATGTGACCAGCTTTGTTGGCTTTTATAACAACCCTTTTTACTCTTTGTTTTTCAATGTCTGGAAAATGGAAATCCATTCTAGCAAAATTTTAGAATTTTTGAAAACTTTTCCTTCCTGAATTGGAACAAAAAGTAAAAAATGTGAAATTTTCGTGTGAAGGGATTTCTAGAAAATTTTCATTTGGGGGGAAATGAAACAGAATTTTTTGGCTTGTTGGCTGTCCATCTGGAAAGTTCTTATCAATTTTACTTTCTCCCTGCAGGCAGAAAGTGGAATTGAGATGAGCCTTCCAGCTGAGCAACCAGGGAGCCATCATTTTGACTTTTCCATTGGAAAAATAGACATTTTCTAGCAAGCTGGAATTTTCCCACAGAAAATTCTGATTTTACAAAAATGGCATTTTCCACTGGAAAATTCCCCATGAACTCTAGTTTTGTGCCTTGTCTTTTTCAACGCTGAAAAACAACTCTGAGACCCCCTTCCCCAACATTTTTTTAAAAAGTATCACACACAAAGATAAAGCATTTCAAATGGCTCAAGGAAGGAAATGATGTAAGGAACATCATTAAAGATTGTACACATTCCATCACTTTGTTTCTACCATGACAAAAAAATTGTGCTGGTTATTCCTTATCTGGAAAAAAAAGGACCCAAAGCAAATTGAAGATTAGGGCATGTCAGCAGACAATTTAATTTTCCTCTTTTGAGCAGTTGCTACATATGGATGTTTAATAATATTTTCTGCTTGTTTTTGATGATGATGATAAATCAAGTGAATCTTAAGTCCCAGGTTTGACTTCCAGGAGAGTCATAGAGCATGGACGTAATTTCTTTCTAATAAACAGAGCCCTCCTGTTATTTTAAGATGTGCTGTAAGTGGTTTCTTGAGCTTTAATGCACCATTGTAATGTAATTTATTGAGACCAAAACTGGCATCCAAGTTTGTAAAGGTTACCCTTCAATTTTATGCTTGGTACCCATATTACACAATGTTAAACTGTTAGGTATAACTCTTAATGCTTTTGTTATGGTGAAGTATGTTGTGTCCATAATTTTCTCTCTGCCTGAAAAGCAGCAAATAGTAATAGCCCAGCTGGCTATTAGTTATAATTCTGTATTCAAACGCATATCTGGTAACTTAATTCTTTCACGGACATATTACATGCCATTTCCTCTACTACTGCGTGCACGTTTTATATGTATTCCTAGATCAAAAACAGAAAACCCAACAACGACAAAACAAGCAACAATAACACTAGGTTAAATTGGTGTCAAGGTTGAGGGTTCATATCAGTAACTTAATGATAAATGTAAAGGTAAAAATTATTTTAAAACATTGTAATTATGCAAAAACAAGCATTAGTAACTCAGGAAATTCGGAGTTAAGGTTAAACTTGAAAGAAAACGAAATATGTTAAGTATGGAAATGCATAGCCAGGGTACCAAAACAGTCTTGACTCTGTCCTATATTGACACTATGGTGTGGGAGGAGAGAGAGCTAAAACTTATTTTATCTATACAAATCGGTTTAATCTCTGGCACAAACTCTAAAATGCATTCATCATAATGTATTGTTATTACATGGGGCAGAGTTAAGGCTTTTTGTAGGACCTGTAATCTTTAATCTTTCTGTAAAGCACATTTATTGTGCTATAAACTAATGTTTAAAAATAAAAACTAATATGCCATAGCATGGAAAATTTATATGAAATAGGAAGAAATTTATAAACACAAGATAACTTACTGTAGATAAATAACATGTTTCCAAGAATACTGGTGAAATTGACATTTCTAGAACTCTTCCAAACTTGATTATCCATATTATGGGAAATAGTTTATGGATATATGATCTCTTTGCACTCCAGATGGGTAGATTACATTAGATGAATTTTTGGCTTGTTCCAATGAAAAATAATTCTGTGATTCTATATCTTGCAAAATAAAATATTACATTATTACATAGAATCATAGAATATCAGGATTAGAAGGGACCTCAGGAGGTCATCTGGTCCAACCCCCTGCTCAAAGCAGAACCAATCCCCAACTAAATCATCCCAGCCTGGGCTTTGTCAAGCCTGACCTTGAAAATCTCTAAGGAAGGAGATTCCACCACCTCCCTAGGTAACCCATTCCAGTGCTTCACCACCCTCCTAGTGAAAAAGTTTTTCCTAACATCCAACCTAAACCTCCCCCACTGCAACTTGAGACCATTACTCCTTGTTCTGTCATCTGCTACCACTGAGAACAGTCTAAATCCATCCTCTTTGGAACCCCCTTTCAGGTAGTTGAAACCAGCTATCAAAGCCCCCCTCATTCTTCTCTTCTGCAGACTAAATAATCCCAGTTTCCTCAGCCTCTCCTCATAAATCATGTGCTCGAGCCCCCTAATCATTTTTGTTGCCCTTCCGCTGGACTCTTTCCAATTTTTCCACATCCTTCTTGTAGTGTGGGGCCCAAAACTGGACACAGTACTCCAGATGAGACCTCACCAATGTTAAATAGAGGGGAATGATCATGTCCCTCAATCTGCTGACAATGCCCCTTACATAATTAAGATAAATGGAGAACACTGAGAAAGGAGATTATAAAGAATACAGCTGTCAAGTTGCAAGCTAAATACATTTCCACTGAGCTACTGAAAAAGCTTTGTTTTCATAAACGACTGGATGCTGTAGTGCAATTAACATACAGTTCATCATGTTGGTAGCTTTGGAGCTACAGCCAACATTTCAATATAAAAAATGAAATGTTGGACCAGCAAAGTGGATGGTGCTACGTGGATACAACAAAGTGGATGATCCTATTTTGGAAGCAATCTTGGGACTTATTCGTCAGACGGGCTAGTGTTGGAAACATCATGAAAGCGACTCCCTGCGAGGGAGGGGTAGAGGGAAAATATTTCTGTATAGCATGTTTTATACCTTTTGATAGCGGATTACAAAAGTAGAGTGCTATTATAATCAGGGCCGGCTCTAGGCACCAGCAAAACAAGCAGGTGCTTGGGGCGGCACATTTTTAGGGGCGGCATTCCGGCACCGGCCAAGCCGCCCCTAGAAATGTGCCCCAGCTTGCCTTTGCTCCGCCTCCGCCTGCTCCCCGGAGTGCGCTGCCGCCGCTCTGCATCTCTCCCTCCCTCCCAGGTTTGCTGCGCGCGAAACAGCTGTTTGTTACAGTCACTGTGTCGCGCAGCAAGCCTGGGAGAGAGAGGGGAGAAGCCGAGCGGCGGTGCGCTCTGGGGAGCAGGTGGAGCGGAGGGAGCTAGGGCGGGAGGTTGGGGGGGAATGCGGCATGCCCGGGGGAGGAAGCGGGGCCGGGGATTTGGGGAAGGGGTTGGGAAGGAGCGGAGTTGGGGCGGGGCAGCACGAAAAAAAAGCGGGGGCGGCCAAATTTTTTTCTTGGGGCCGCAAAAATCCTAGAACCGGCCCTGATTATAGTCTTGTTGGGGGCTACTTGCTTTGCCAGCTGCAAAATGTAATATACAATACAACAAGATAGTGGCTCAGATTTTTGTTTTGCTATAAATTTTATCTGTTTTTTGTTGTTGTTTTCTGAGGACAAAGCCATCTTTGGTTTTACATCCTTCAGAAATATGGCACATTTTATGTTTTCCATGTTTTGGATTTGCATTAATATGGTAGTATGACAAAAAAGCTACTTTTCACATTTATCTTTGATCTATGGATCTTCTTGTTACACTATATAGTCAGTGTGGGTACTTTATATCCCCTTGGGTGCTTGATTTGTGGTTCTCCTATAGAATCCTCGTGCCTTGCAAATAGCCAAGATAGGATATTTCCACAGATTTCCAATACCATATATTTAAATAGTCCAGGGCCATGTTCTTAGGTGCTATTTTCTCGAGAATTTTAGGGTATTATCTTCTTTGTATTGAGGATTTTAGTTTCAAATCATCCTTCTCCTGATCAACTTTCAACCTTATTGTTTTAGTATTTGCTGTTTTCTCATGGATTATTTTAATGCTTGCTATAGAGAGCTGTTTGAAAACACATCTCTTTGATGCTTGTTTCTTCTTCAGGCATCAAAACCTGGTAAATTTTCTAAATGTAAGCATAAAAGCTTATGTTAAGGATAGGTATAATGTAAGCTTTTCACATGTTTGGTGGACGTGTATGTATATATACACATGCAGTACTATGAAAGCTGTAGGACTGCTTGTTTGGCTTAATTTCTACTACAAAAATAAGCAAACTAGTTCATATATTCAAGTTAGTGTCATTTTCCTTCAAAATAGTGATTAATAAATTTAAGTATTATCCTTTTAAAATGATACCTGCTATTATATCTGTCTTTATCTACATCTTGTTAAGGTACTCTACAAACAGAAACATGATGCTGAAAAAGGGACATCAGATTATGCACATATGACAGAGCCCCCAGATGTTAAGCATGCTATGGAAGTCGGTAAACACCAGAGTAATGTAAGTACTCTCTTCTCTTAATTTATTACATTGTTGCAGTAGTGGTCGAGTCTATTTACTGCATATAAAATGTTCATGTTATATTTCAGTGTTCCATGGGGTTTTATTTAGCTTTCTAAAACCATCCATATATATATGAAAAGTAAAAATATGTATTTAAAAATCACTGGGAGCATAACCTCTGTGTGTGTGCGTGTGTGTAGGTTAAGCGTCAAAGTATTTTTAAGTACCTATTTTTATGCTAGATCATAGAGGAGGAGTTGTCTGTTATGCCATTAGTTTTTAAATTTGTTTTAAAGAAAAGTTCCCTGAATTTACATTTGCATATTTTATACTTTAAAACAGCATATTTATTTATGCTTTATTTATGCAAAACACAGAATGGCTTCTATGTCTTTGAGTGTCAATTTTCATACACATGAGTAAGATTATTCACAGGAGTAATCCTAAAGAGTTCAATTGAACAATTCATGAGCATATTTGCAGAATATGGACGTGTGGGTGCAACAGTGTAATAGATGGTAAAATTACTGATTTTTCAGGGGACTGCATTGGAGTCACTGAGGAGTAGAATTTGTCCCCATAGTTTTTTCAAAAATAAGTTTCCATTGCTGTTTTACAAATAAATTTATGAAAGAGTTGTTTAAAAATCTAATATATTTTATGGATGCTTTGTTAGCTTTTTACATTTCTCTCAGCTTAGACAATAAAATAGCATTATCACTTTATTTAAGGTTTTGACTGTGTAAATTTGGTTTCAGTTTCATGTTCTCATACACTAGTTCAATGCTGCATTTTTATGGTTGCAAATGCTAGAGAAATATTTATTTTGATTGAAAAACATAAATACAAAAAACAATTTCAAGGAAAAAAATCTGTTGGTCTTAGGTTTTGCAAAAGCTTTATTTATACTAAACTTGAATTTTAGGCAAAATTTGGCTAGAATAATTAGGTCGCTTTAAGGGAATGTAAAAATGATGAGATAAACCAAAAAGTAAGGACATTTAAAGGTAAGGCTAAGTTGGTCTTTTGTACCGAGGTACTGGAGTCATGTCAGGTCAGCATGAGATATTCTGCCCTTTCTGCTTTTTAAACAAAGCTCTCATGCTTTTTTAAAAGATCTGCTCTAGGAATTATTATGGGGAAGTTCTATGGCCTGTGATATACAGGTCAGATTAGATGATCACAATGGTTCCTTCTGGCCATGGAATCTACGAATATGTTTGTTACATACCTTAGGAAAAATGAAGTTAAGGCCTTAATTCTGAATGTCCTTTTTTATAAATTTGTGCTGGCATTTTAACAATAGCTTAATCAACGCTGTCCACTTCAAAATGTAACACAACCCTTAGGCTAATTCCCAGATGTTTAAAACCTTGAGAGCTGGTCAGCAACTAAGGGCATGTCTACACTTACCTCTGGAGTGATTGATCCAGCGGGGGTCAATTTATCGTGTCTAGTGAAGATGCGATAAATCGACCACCGAGCACTTTCCTGTCGACTCTGGTACTCCACCGGCGGAAAAGCATAGCCGGAGTCAACAGGGGAGTGTCAGCAGTCAGCCTACCGCAGTGAAGATACTGCAGTAAGTTGCTCTAAGTACACTGACTTCAGTTATGCTATTTTTGTAGCTGAAGTTGCGTAACTTAGACCAACTTAGCTCCTTCCCTCCCCCCCCCCAGTGTAGACAAGGCCTAAGAGGCTGTTGGGAGATTTCAGGGGGGTATTATGCTGGGAAGAGGAAGGATTTCTACTGCTGGGACATATGTGTGAGCTGCGACTCCCAAGAGTAAGTCACAACCAGCCCTGCTTTGCCCTCTTGCTTGAAACCTGCCAAGCTGTGCCTCCTCTTGCTTTTGGAAATCACCAGGATGTCAGATGAAGAGAGGGTATGAAACGGGGCATAGCTTGAGAGAAGATGCCAGTGGCTCTGGAAATGAACTTGCAGCATAAAACTCTCTGCCCATGGAGATGGGGGTCCTTTCCGGTCCTCAGTAAGGATGGTGAAAGGAGTGTTGCAGATGTGGAAGGGTTTTATTGGGGCTAGGGAAAGAAACAAGAATGGGAAAAGAGATGGGATCCATGATATGTGAGGAGTTGAGGAGAAGTACAGGAGAGGGGCTTTAGGTTCAAAAACTATCATCATCTGTACTTAACTATCCTTTGAATTTTAATTATAATTTGTAAATCCACAGTCCAGAACAGCCCCTCTTTGTTCCCACAGCTGTGCATACTCCTGTTAACAGCATTAATGAGGGCAGTGTGCAGATGGGGAAGTAAATAAAAAGCAGTCGTGCTGTCTCCATTCGTGCTATAAACACAGCACAATAGAAAGTTTGTTAAATAAAGGAGAACAAACACAGAGGAGAAAGATGTTTTGTTATGATACTGTTTAACAGAATATTAAAAATAATGGAAAATGTGGGGGGAAAATTCAGCCTGAACAAACCAGCTTGTTGCATCCAGTTCACTGTTTTTTTCTTGTTTGCTAATATAGAGCTAAGATGGGGTGGAGATATATTTTTATTGCCCGTGAGAAATGGGGTATGTAACACCAGTTATGGTTACACACCTACTGTGTGTAATTACTGGGCACCATGCTGAATATTTGCTTGGGGATTTCTCATTTTGTGAGAAAAGGTTTAATTAAGAACCACATGAGGCTTCCCATTCAACTCTGAATCTGGAAGTTTGTTAATGGACATATTAAGGATTCCAAATATGAAGCATCTGTCTCTTGGAACTTAGGCTGTTTGTAGAATCGTTGCTTTGAGGAGAGTGCAGTGGTAGAGGGAAACTCTTGCAGGAATAGGAAGACAAAGCTCTTTTATCCACCACTCAGTACAGTATACCTAAGAGAGTAGAATGTATGTTTACTTACAATGGTCTGCCAATTCAATTCAACCTTTACATGCAGGGTTTACATCTAAAAGGATTAGGATGTGTTTAAGACTATTTACTCAGTTTTAAAATAAGACTGACATTTATACTCAACTGTGTGAAATGTGCAATTTCCTTTAAAAATGAAGATTGGATTCCACTTACAATACATTTGTGCTGACAATTTGAAACTGTGATGTGCTGTAGGCCTTCACACCACTTTGAATAACATTAACACCCTGCTCAAGTGTGGGTTGAAGCTGCATAATAGAGAAATACTGTAAAATCTCCTGAACAATGTGATCATTTGTAAAGCGAAACATTTTCTACCTTTTTAATACTTCTTCCAAAGAAAATCACTCTCCACAAAGTATAACAGAAACATTTTTAGCTGTAGGAAATATACTTGCAATATTATTCTAAGCACTGTTCAGTGTTGGAATGAAAGTATGTTTGTTTAATGCAGACTATTTCTCTATAAATTGTGTTTCTGTTACATACAAGTTTGTGTGAAATGAACATTAACAGTCTGACTTCATCACACAAATGCCGTGCAGTTTGGAGAGAGACTGCCAGTCTATCCTATATATACATTATGACTGTATGTGGAGCCATCCTTTTATCTAATCCAAAATTTTCCAAACCCTGGACTGTAGTTTTTGCTGGTGGTCTATAGAGATCTGGCTGGTCACATGGTACAGGCTCCCCCTCTTTCAAGTTGAGAAAAACAGAACAGATGGGAGGGAGAAAAGAAATGAATAGCAAAAGAAGACAACACAATTAACTTTTTCAGAAAAGGAGAAAATCCTTGTTCCGGTTAGGTAACTGTAGTTGCCATAGGGCAATAAGATGCAACTGGTTTGATGGGTGGGTGGCGGTGAGTTACAACTGAAGGAAGAGGTGATCCTCAGACAATCTGTGAAGACATAGTTAAGATTATGAAAAGATTAGCACTTATACAAAGGTTTACCTATTCAATTTGTTTTTAAAATGTTAATTAAACCTTATCGCATCCTACTGTAAAATAGAAAGTGTCATTATCCCCATTTTACAAATAAGGAATCTGAGACAGTCTTTCCCAGAGCCACACAAAGTAGATGGCAGAGTTGAGACTAGAGCCCAGGTCTCATGGCAGCTGGTTCCATGCTTATCCCACTAGGCAATGTTGTCTTTAAAGTGTTAGTCACCAATTTGGAAAACTCCTGGAATGTATGCAGGCTCTGTGCAGTCCAAATGAAGTCAGAGTTTTTAACATCCCCACTGACCAATTAAAATGCACTATTTTCAGAAAAGCATGTTAACACATAGGAATGTATGTTTATCTTTTAAAATGCAAGTGCGAATACTGTCCACAAAAATAATTTCCAGGATAGAAATTACATGTCCTTTGATAAGACCCGATCATCAGAATTAAAATTAAGAGCATTTATAAACACCATCATTTGTCCACCACCATTTTGGAAATTGCTGTGTGGCAGGATTCTTGTTTTTCCTGATGAAGGTCGCATTAAAACTATGGATCCAGTCGTATTCTATGCTGCATATATATTAGGAAAAGCACCCAGAGCTGTCTAACTTTCTGTTGACAGTGGTTGTGAACAGCAGCTCACCCAGATCACCCCCAACTGGTGTTGAAAACGGCTTTATTGCTAGCGTAAATGGGACCAAATAGTTTTCAGCCCCATTACCAGAAAGGATGATGGTGTCAGTCTGTAATGGTCCAGAAATATTTTTGTTTCATCTACACTGGCAGGGAAACAGTTTTCAACACCATTTGAGGGGGAACCACGCAAAGCTGTTGTTGACTATGTTTGTCAGCAACTAGTCATTTTCCTTGTGTAGATGGACTCCAGAGTGACAGCACTGTAGTGCAGAGGCAGGGGGCTCAGATGGAGAGCGATTAGGGTAATTAGAGTGAGTTACGGGCCATTTCAAAGTACCAAAATGATTAGTTCACTTTAAGACTAAGGGTCAAATTCTGCCCTCAGATATATGTGCACATATCTGCACAAGTCCTATGTGTGCACAAGTCTTATTGACTTTTGATTGTATATATCAGAAGTAGCAACAGAGGCTTGCACACTTCTTAAAATTCCATTTTGAACACGGGTGAGGGAGAGGGACATGATAAATAACTGCAGAAAGGCATCTCAATCCTTTAATACTAGGCCTCTTTTACTGAACTCTAAATGTAATATGAAAAATAAATCAGCTGATTGACAGCCAATGACTCTGCATCCTACATGGCAACCGGTTTAAGTTGCATTTCCCAATGAATAGAAACTATAATGCAAGTGCCTGTTATAAAATCAAAGCTAAATCATCTCAAAGATGTAGAATGTAAGGACTGAAAGACAGATCCTCAGCTGGTGTAAAATGGGTGCATCTCATTAGACTTTAGTGGACATGTGCCTATTTAAATGAGCTGGCCCTATAAAAATTAATCAACTAATTATGAGCTAGGGCTGAATATTTTCTGTGCTTTGCAAGTAATTCCGACTATTCAGCTAAATCTGGAGAGGCAAAAAGACTTTTTAAATTCAGATTAGCAGTCAGTTCACTACATGTTCCTTTAAAACTATTCAGTGGATGAAGCCACTTTTTATAGCAATTGTCTAAAATGATAGGCTAGTTTAAAATTAATAAAACAATATAAAGCTAACAAGAGTATTTGGTGAGAAATATTTTAACATACCCATAATAATTGCAAAGATGAAATAGATGCAGATTTTTTCCTCTTGTCTCTATTTCTTTTTCTCCCTCACACTCCTCATTAGTCTTCTGTTAACTCTCTGCTTATCCTTCTCACTGCTGCCAAAAACTGACGGAGTCTCAGCAACAGAGTTCTATACAAAAATAAGTTTGGATGGGCGCATCAGACATGGCCAGCCACAGTGAGAGACAGAAAGTAGTTCTTGAGCTACCTGTGACATTGTTCTGAAGGGATTAAGAGATTGACAGTTTTTGTATTTAATATTTGCATTATGATTCCAATCCTGACTGGCAGCTATCTCTTTGCATGAGACTGAACAAACAGAGTAAAAGATGGTCCCTGCCCCAAACTGCTGAACCTCTGTCTTTCCCTTTCCTACACAGTAGGTATTTCCTCCATTTCCTTTTCCATTGCTTTTCTTTTTTTGTAACAAGTTTCTCTTTTCTTTGTTTCATTTTTCCACCTTATTTGCTTTTCCTCTTCCCTCTTTTGATCTTTTTCTTTCACTTCCCATGCTCTGTACCCCAGCTGATGATTGTGCACATTCAGGTGGTGTGTTAGTCGCTGAGGCATCTGTTCCCCTTCTCTAGCAGAATAGTTTTCATTTTACTGTTATAACATAGCACTATATATAAAAAAAATAAAAATAAAAAAAGCATTTCACTTGACGGAGCAGAATAGCAGCTGTGTAACAGAGGCCAGCACATTGTCCCAGTGGGGAAGGGTCAGCATCCAGAGACTGAGGTTATTCAGGAAATGGGAAACATATTTTTTCTTTCTTTGGCCTATCTCTGACAAACTACTGTTCTGCTGCATAACATTTTTATTCTCACTGGAGTATGACAAGCCGCAGAATGGAGCAAATATAGATTGCAGACATTTGTAAAATGTTAGATGACTTTCCCTCAGACATAAGTAATAGGTATTCTGGTTTAGGTGCAGGAAGAATAATAATTCACTCAAGGGAAGCTATTGCAATAGGTCCTGAATCAAATATCATTGGAAACGGTGAAATATACAGGATTGTCACTGTCTGATGTTTTTTCCCTCCTTCATCCTAAAACTAGCCGTAATCCATTATTTCATGCTGTAAATGACCATGTCATTTGGGCGCAATAAGTGCCCAAGCTTTCACCACTTCCACCACCATGGTTTGTGGTACACTGATTTTCCCTTATTTGAATTTACTAGTCACTTCAATCCTAATGTCTGTTTTTAGCACATACGCTGGCCTTTAATTTGCAATTTACATGGATGGTAGGGCTCTATTCAAAAACCTGTCCCTGCTGCCTTTGTGGTGTTCACCTCACCTCATGTGGTCATTAGGATGAACAGCATATAATTAGCTGAATCCATGTAAAGCTCTGCAATGCAAGTGCTTGTATGTACACGTAGTTTTCTTTAAAAAACAAACTGGTAGCAAACAAGAAATGTTAGTTTTAAGGATGGGTGATGATTATGATAGCATTTTATCTGAGTTTAGCTGTTGATTGTACTGTGTCACTCTTTGTGGGTTAAAAATGCTAAGATCTGATTTGTGGGCAAACTGCCAGCAGATTGAAGCCTACTTAGCTTGTCTATTAGGCTGACATCATATGGATGCAAACTTACTTTCTGGTTGGCTTAAAGATACTTTAAAAATATTTGCAAAAAACGGATAGATATATTTTCTTTTTTATGCATTCTTTCTACAAACTGTAATGGTTCAGAGCCACAGTTCGTGAACGCTGACCAATCAGCTGAATTTGTTAAAATCATGCACAGATTCGAATATTACATTTGAAAATAGGAATTTTACCTTTAGGTTTGTGATAGCTAAAGTCTCAAGCTGAAGGAATCTCAAAGGAGCCTATGATGCTGAAATATAATACTGAAACATATTGTAAGGTCTTAAGCAATAGAAGAAATTCAAAAAGACCCTGCAGTAATACAGAAATGATGCGGATGCATTGATGCAATGCCAGATTTTATTTTCTGCTCTCTAATTTCCACACAAGGTTTTGATTGGATTGAAGCTTTGAAGTATCAAGGGAAATTTTCTTGATCATGCAGAATGATTCAATGAAATAACTCATGAAAATTGGCTTGTGACTTGGCACTTGTACTTCTGCAAGGGAGAGAGAAGGTCCAGGGAAAAGAAAACTATAACTTGAGGTCTTGGGACTCTGGAATATATCAGAGGTCTGTGCAGTTTCCCTACATGCCCTGATGATCTCATTTAAAGGAGAATCTTTGGATGTATCGTGCTCATGCTTGGCCTTCAGGCTAAGGCCCTCCTAGCCCATTCATTATATTCCTGGCTTTTTCCTCAGTCAAGAATTTTCTGCCCTGAACATCTCATGCTGAAACATGAAGAAAGATGTCACCTCAACTTAGTGGCTCCCCAAGAATCCCTGTGATCATGTTTGACGGGAGGAGCATTTAATAAAATACCAACTACAATGCTGCAACTGAGAGAAAAGGAGTACTTGTGGCACCTTAGAGACTAACCAATTTATTTGAGCATAAGCTTTCATGAGCTACAGCTCACTTCATCGGATGCATTCAGTGGAAAATGACTCATTTCCACTGACTGCATCCGATGAAGTGAGCTGTAGCTCACGAAAGCTTATGCTCAGATAAATTGGTTAGTCTCTAAGGTGCCACAAGTACTCCTTTTCTTTTTGCGAATACAGACTAACACGACTGCTACTCTGCAACTGAGAGAGTTATTCATCCCATTAGGATTTCAATTCCTGTACAGTACAGTAGAGGCCTACTGGACTGTGGGATTCTGTGAAGCACAGGGGGGTATAGAACAAGATTTGCTCATATGAAAAGACTTATTCCTTTCACTGTTAGAATTTTTCTGAAATGCTGTGCCTTTTAACAAAATCATGTGATTCTTTGGAATGCTAGCACTTTATTCTAGTCTTAAACAAAACCATTTTTATGCTCACATTATCTTGTATATTTCTGAATTTTTTTTCTTTATCTTGTTAATCTGTGTGGGGGGCTTACTAAATAATCCCTAGAGAGACAAGGTGGGTGAGGTGATATCTTTTATTGGACCAACTTCTGTTGGTGAGAGAGCCAAGCTTTCGAGGTTACACAGAGTTGCTGCTGCTTCTTCTGAAGAGCTCTGTGTAAGCTCAAAAGCTTGTCTCTCTCACCAACAGAAGTTGATCTAATAAAAGATACTACCTCACCAGCCTTGTGTCTCTAGTATCCTGGGACCAACATGGCTACAACAACACTGCATAAATAATCCCTGTCAAGTAGGACTGGGGTGGAACAAATGATTTTATCTGGAGGTTTATTGCTTTTGGTGGCTGAGTTCATAAGTCATTCAAATATGATTTATAAACTTCTAACTCTGTTTGTTAAACACAACTGTCTTTTGTTTGGCAGGTGTCATATAAGAAAGATGTGCAAGATACACACAGATACACTGAAGTGCTGAACAGGCCAGACATAAAGATGGCAAGCAAGATATCAAAGATAATAAGCAATGTATGATCTTCAGTGACCCTTTCTGTCCGTTTTAAAACTTACTGACTATTTTATTCATTCCATCCTCTGTCAAAGTGTAAAGAATGCTGTCTAAAATGTTAAAACTTAGACACCTACATTTATATTTAGCCATCTGTGTCTTTCTACATGTTGGGACAGTACCTAGCATGTTTTGGCTGCTACTGTAACAGTATGTAATATAGTTTAATTTTTTTATTGTAGAAAAATTAAGCTATCCAGAAGTCTGTAAAACCAAGATTTTCAAAGGTGACTAGAGATTATCGTTTCTTAAATTTTAGCTGACCAACTTGATACACCTTAAAGGGCCCTGATTTTCATAGGGTGTGTGCGCAGTATTTTCTAAAACCCAGGCCCCTTTAAGGTGGCTCAAGTTGAGCACCCAGAATCACTAATGTCTTTTGAAAATCTTCACCTTGGTTTTGAATAACTTTGGGACATGTTTTTGCTCTAGTCAGTTGTAGGTACTATACCTACTGCCAGAGTTACACTGCCTTCATAGTGTAAAATCCTAATTTAGCCAGTGGACATAGTTTGAGGTGTGTCACAGAATCTTTTGTGGGTACATCTGCGTGTTCCTTTTTCAATACATTTTAGAAAGAATGTGCAGTGCATCTGCAGGGGAGTTTGTTCAGCTAGAAATATCATGTAACATCCACCCTGTGGGCCAAAGTCCATCTGTTACACTAGTGCAACTCCATTAACTTTAAGGGGATTGCACTGATATAACTGAGTGGTATTTGATCCTTTATTTGAAAGAGGCTGGCACTCTCTCAGCCTAGTCTTGTTCTAAAACTATTTTCAGCCTCTAAAAATAATCTTTTGTAAACTCTGGACCAGATCTTCAGAAATGCTGGTCCATTTTAACTCACTCTGACTTTATTGGGAACAGTGGGAGATCACTATTTCTCAGGCTTAGGCTCTGTATTTGGTTAAACTTGAACCTTGTGAGTGAAGTTCACTGTGTTTCAAATAAAATAAATTTATATTTTTAGAACAGATAAAGCCTGGGAAGGCCTTCTTTTCAGAGCTGATTAGAGCATTAGTGAGACTAGTGTCAGTTCAGGTCACTTAATGATACTTTCTGTTTTGTTAACTATAATGCTTACATTTCCTTTGATAAAACAGAAGCAAATACAGTTTAATTGAGATTAGTATTCATTTCTTTTTTTAAAGGCTGAATATAAGAAACAAAGAGGAGAAATGAATAAGGAGACTGCTGTACTCGGAAGACCAGATTTTGAGCATGCTAAGGAAGTTTCTCTACTTTTAAGTCAAGTAAGATTGTGTCAATCATTCTACAATGACTTCATTCAGATATCTCATTCCTAGTAACATAATCAAATATTTAATCTTTAAAAGATTATCTGTAATTGCATGAAAATTGGAAGAGAATGTTTCCAAAACTATTTCATACTGAACTGCAGTAACTGGTAAATTTAAGATAGTTAGAAAACAGTAGATACAAGTTTTAGACAAAAGTACAATGTGCCGTTTGACTCAATTACAGTTTGTCTGCTGTGGAATTGGTGTTGTGCTATTTTATACAGAGTTTCTAGGATTTCAGAAATATTAACTATCTGTAATTTGTGGCCAGATTCTGCGATCCTTACTTTGCATGGTACCTTACTCCATGATTAGTCCCATGAAGTAATTATGACTTTTTGTGTGTGCCACTGCTCGCCTTTGTGAGTAAAGGGTCAGAATGAGGTCCTCAATATTAAAAAAAAAATCTTTACTTACTGTTATTCATTAAAATCAAGGAAATGAAAGAATCAAAATTGGAGTTACTTTAGTTCATATTATTTTATTTGATTACTAGACACAGAGCTATGGGGCCTAAAATTCTACCTTCTGTTCTCTTTTAATAATCTTTACTGCTGCGGTTCAATCCCATTCAGAAACAAAAATTTTCAACATGCTGAGCCGTTCTTTTCACAAGTTCTTTAGCGCCCCATGGCATATCCCTCACTAGTAATCCAATCAATTTGCACTCAAAGCATTTTCCAAATCAAGGGGCAAATTCTGCTTCATGTAGGTGAGCATAACTCCCCTTGATTTGACTAGGTGGTAGTCTTCTCTTGAATTGAAAAGCCATGCAGTACCTTCTAATCTAAATGTATATGCTGAAACAGTATTGTGTTTGGTTTTAAAGAGGGCATGCTCCTTTTGGTAGCACTAAATATTGCCCCCAGATATCTGCTATGTAATAAGAAATTTCATGGGAAATTGCCCTTTTTCTTTCAGGGACACTGTTACTCAAAAGCTATAAAGTTTTTTAAAATAATTTTTACTTGCTTTGTCAAGATCAACTTTGAAACTCAAAATGGATTTTGTTTTCCAATAAGATTTATTTCTTCCACTTTGTAATTTATTAAATGCTAATTTCTGTGCTGACTGAGAAGGCTTGTTTAATAGATTCCTGGTATTTGACTGCATGTTATCACTCACTGCTTTGGAAGCAGGTTGCGCTCTCCCATTCACTTTATAGAAAGGAACATCTGCTAAGCTGTTTAGGTCTCTGTATCAGTGCTAGGAATCAGAGAAAATGTTAGTTGTTAAATTAATTATGAATGATTTTTGAAAATGTGCACTTCTTGTTTTTTTACTTTCTGTGTGATAGAGCTCACTGGAAAGTCTGGCTGGGTTGTGTACATGTAGACAGTCCTGCAGTGGGATGGCTCTCCAGGTGTACACGACCAGTCAGCCTGTCCTCAATTTCACCAGCTTAGCTGGCCAGCAGATCTTCAAATTGCAAGAGTTACAAAAACAAGGGACAAAAATACTTTTATAAATCCAGCAGGGACATGCCAGGACAGGTGCTATAAACAGGGATTCTGCACTTCCCTACAACAGCTGCATCAGTAGCAGGCTTCAGCTTTCAAACTTCAAGCTGTTTTTGATGCATCCATGTTTATAACACAGAGAGAGCAACAACAAAACCAGAGAACCAAACCATGGCTAGTTTTTGTTAATCAAAAGAAATGTGGGATTTTTCACATAAGTATAATCCCAAAAAATGGGTGAATTTCATCTTTGAACAAAGACCACACATGGCAAATGTCAATCCAGAGTGACTGATTAGAAAATGTATGAGCATGTGAAAATAGCATTTTATCTTGGAAAGTATTTCACAACCTTAACTTAGTGTTCAATATTGGCACAACTGCTGTGATTGTTAGTAACCATCACAGTAATAAAACAGTATTCGCTATAGCCTAGTCTGGTGCTGAGCCATTTCACCATGCAGAACCCAAATTCAATGTACTTCCATCTCTCCTTTCTTATTCTTGGGATTCTCTCTTGAACAGAAACTGCTATTCGTACTAAACTGGAGGTTATGTGATGCAGTCACATGACTATTGGGGGCTATGATGGAAGCTAAATTCCACTTGTGATCTTCCTACAATGGCAGGGTTGCCAGGCCTTCAGGATTGTCCTGGAGTCTCCAGGAATTAAACATTATTCTTTAATTAAGCATTGTATCGTGATGAAACCTCCGGGAATACTCCCCACCAAAATTGGCAACCCTATGCAAAGTTGAACCAATGGTATGCAATGTACATTTCATTAGCACATACTAGAGCAGAGGAGCAGCTGAAACAGCCTAGCACACATTGGAGCTGGTCCTTATTGTAAATCAGATGAGCCAGTTGAGGATGGGAAGGTGGCATATGTGCACTTTTATGTCACATGTATGGTGGAGTGAATGTGTTCTATTATATATATGTTTTCATGCCACACTAATCATCATAGCACCTTCCAGTAGTGCATCAAGCAACATAGCTACACATCTGTCACATGTTGTTTGTTCTCTCATCTTTTTCCCAGAGGGAGAAGCACAGGGAGTGGAATGTCCCTTTGTTGTTGTTGTTAAATATACCTCTTGTTATGTGTTTATACTAGACAAGGCAAGATCAAAGAAATGAACCTTGCTCTTGGAGTGGAAAGTGGTGAGGTTTGTGATAGTCCTTAGTTTCTGGTGGAGTTCATTCCACAGTCTTGGACCACCCCAGGGAAGGTTCTTTCTTTACTCTATTGTTGAGAGCTCCATTGTGCCACAGGAGTGAAGCTGTAAATTCCAACCTTCATCTCAGAGCTTTAAGCATTCTTTTAGGTATCCTGGGCCTAGGCCATAGATCACTTTAACGATAAGGACTGAGACCGCTAAATCAATTCATAATTCTATGGAAAGCCAGTTTAGAAAGCAGAGGACAGGTATGATGTGCTCACGATAGCCTGTGTTGCTGAGGAGATGGGCTACAGCATTTTGTACCAGTTGGAGTTTCCTAAGTGCTGAATACTTCATGCCAAGATATATCACATTGTTAAATTCCAGCCAAGAGGCGACAAAGGCATTAATAACTGAGGCAAGGTCTTCATCCACCAGAATGGGATGGAGTTTCTTAGATAACTGGAGATGATAGAAAGCATTACTTGCAGCCATTGTGATGTGAGAGCTCAGCATCCACGGGAAACCAAGAATACTCCTAGACTATGGACTTAATTGAGTAATTGTGGATGTGAACCTGCAATCAAAAGAGACTTCACGGTAGCTGCAAACTCCTCAAAATACTTTCCTCTTCTCACCAGCATAAGCTCTGTTACCATGGGTTCAGCTTCAGCCAGTTGTTATTCATCCATGAGCTGAACTCATCCAAGGATTGGGCCATTTTGGTGGAAGTGGTGTGTTCGTATGTGGTGAAGACAGGTGGAGTTGCGTGTCAGCTGTATATTGCTGGCACTTGAGTTCATGTCGTCTAGTTAACCTAGTGGTCGCATGTATCAGGACTGACAATCCTGAGTGTTCACAAATCATACATTCTTTTTATTTGTCTTCTGCTTCTTGAACCTTTGGATTTCACATTTTTTAGCAGCCAGGAGGGGTAGAAACTTTTTTTTTTTCTCAAATGAAAGCTGAGATTCTCAGGTAATCACATTACTCCAGGAGCTGGGGCTTCAAGAACAATATCAAATATTTCAAGACTCATGATGTAATTGTGAGCATTGGTGACATGGGTGAAAGTAGGACAGGAAGATGATGATGTGTTTTAGTGTTGTATGTATGTGTAGACAGTGCAGTGAGTACAGACAAGGAGAGCAAGGAGAGGTTAGGTGGTGTGGGTGTAACCAAGGGAAAAAGGAAACAAGGGCATGGTAGCTGAACATAGTGAAGAAGATAGTGTTTGACTGACACTCAAGACTGTGCCAAGTCAGGGTCTTTTAAAAAAGAAATAAATCATGTGACACTCAACAGCAAAATGGTGGTGTCACTGGATTAGTGAATTTACCCACAGCACCATCTTTCCCTCTCTTTCTACTTTTAATGCTGATTAAACAGTAACTTAATAGGACCCTGTGAACAAATGAAGCTTTAGTATTTGTTTTCTGATTATTATAAGGCAAATATTATAATTTAGACTATTCTTTATTTTATAATTATAATCTCTATCCTGATAGCACTGAGGTTATGTTTTTGTCCAGCTATACCAGAAGAAAGACGGGAGACACTTGGTATGGCTAATTAGGCCACAACTTTGTTATTAGATCTCTGGGACTACCCGGCAGATTAAAGTGTGCAGTGCAGTGAACTACATGATCATTTCAGTGTTTACCTGGATGCTTCCATTAACCCCCCACCCCTTTCCATCCTGGTCCCCAGCCAACCCGTTGCTGGAACCTTACCAACCCCCCTCAAATGAGGGTCAAGGTAGGCTATAAAAGGGGGGGGGGTTGGATCCCTTCCATACCAGTCATGAGCAATTTGAACTCCCCTCCTCCCCAACCCCCATTCAACTCCTTTAACAAACACCTCCTTTAAATCATTTACCAAGTCATTTATCTGGTCATTGTATCCCCTCTGTACTGGATACCTGCACTGGACGTACGCCCCACACTTACATAATGAGTTGTGACATCATAGTCTAACTCCCATTCCCTACTCACCCTAACAAAGCTCCCCTGAACCCACTGTGGGGAAGGTGGAGAATCCTCCACTCCGCCTTGGCCAATCTGGTGGTGAGAGAAAAATTCCTTCCCAGGCCCCCAAGAAAGGAACAGCTAGCATAATGCCCAGAGCCAGTCATGACCAAACTTGGTATTTTGCCACTTGGTATTTTTGCTGAGAGGGTGGGTGCTGCTCTGCCTGGCTGGGGAAAAAAGGGCTTCTCCTGCCAGGCTTGCCCTTTATCAGCTCCCTTCCCTTCTGGTCCCTGGGGGATGAGTCAGCATTGCCATGCTGACCCGTTTTACTTCTGCAGCAGCATCCATGTTTCTCT